ATTTTGAATAACGTTTTAAAACGCATATGATTTGGGAATATCAAGATTCTTTGAGTCTCAGCTGACTTTCATTATCATGACTGACGTTCGCAAGTGCTTCCATTCAAAAACTTCAGGGTGTTGAAGTGAAGAACTGTGGTGTTTTTGCCATCTTTTCGTAGGAGTTTTATTTAGGGCAATTTCAGGATGAACTTGTTCGTTGGAATTCTCGTCTTCGTTTTCACACTCGTGTCCGGGAACGAGACGAATTCAAACTTCGCGTCAGAAGAAACGTTCCAAATTGACGGGAAAATTCTGCCACCTTCGGATTCGTTTCTTCCCTTCAACATGGAATCCGTGGAGATTGTGGTGAATGGACGTAAACGAGTGAGCTTTGTGCGAAGTGACGGCACTTTTTCAGTGACTGCGATGCCCGCGGGGTCGCATTTGATCGAGATCGCGAGTCCTAATTACTTTTTCGAGCCTGTCAAGGTGGACATCAGTTCTAAGGGCAAGTTCAGGGCGAGGAAAGTGAATCTCATCCAACCGTCTCAGCTCGTACAGGTCTGTATTTTTTTGTTATTTTTGCGCATTTGCTCTTTTATCGAGATTTGGATGATTGTGACAACATTTGCGGAGAAACAAAACTAGTAGAAACTTTTTCTCAGCTGGTTTTAAAGCTCGACGCTAAGTTTCGAAATTTGAGTCGTTGTTCACTACAGATCAACCTAACTTTAAAGTTAAGCTAACTTCATAACGGAAATAGATGAAATCTGCCTTTCTGTCGGTCTCTAGGGCCGAAGCACGCTGAGACATAATTTTTTCGGGCAAAGTTTGTGAATTGAAAACGAATTATTTAAAGTATTTTTATGCCTCAACTTTTTCTTTTTTTTTCGAATAGTTTTAGGACTACTGTATTTTTAGTTTACTTGGTGTGACGCACTACTTTTTGCCAATGAAAGGCCGCTGATGGCTTCCATCGAAAATAAGGTAACTCACGACCTTTTTATAGACTCATCAAGCACCCTCAGTTGATAGCATAAACATCACTATTAAAATGCGATTTTTCTTGTGCCTCCTTGAATTTTCTTGAATTTTCGGATTTTTTCAAAATTACGACGTAATGATTTGATGACTGTAGTGCAGAAATAGTTTATATTTTAATTTCTGTATTTTGGTTTGCCTTTTTAAACAGGAAAAGTTGAATAGAAATCTTTTTTTGAGTATTAAAGGACTTCATTTAATGTATTTCAGTACAGTTTCGATTACAGAGAGTAATTATTGAGAGAAGGGATCGATCATGGAAGACAGTTTTCAACTCCTGTTCGTGCACTTGATTCGAATGACGAGAGAAATAGTCGGCGTGGGAAAGGGTTGATTTCTTTCTTCCTGTGATTCACACCTTTTTTAACGATTATTGCGCTTCAACAAGCAAGTGAAAAATAGCAACGAACCGGATCGAACGAGTATGAGCTGTCACGAAGAAATGTACAGTAATTTGATTTCATTATTCCGGATGGGGAAGCAATTCGATCTAATTTTCGATTTGAATTTTTCTCTTTGGTATTTGTCATCAAATTTACATGTGATCCCTGGCTGGGTTTTCTGCACGATGTCGTACATGAACTTTTTTTTCGTGTATTCCTTTTAAAATTATCTGCAATAATCAATGAATGAATCATCGTAGCATTCTAAAGAATTGGGTGAAAACCCGGAACGCATGAAAAGTAATGAAATTATTAATTTTAATCGCTAACTGTTTTAGTAATACTCTATCAGTCTGAGTGTGCTTGAGACATTACGCGTATTTTCTGCATTGTTGAAAAACTATTGTTTTAGTGTACTTTTATAATCATGAATGTCTGTAAGCTTAATTTTTGGTTGACAAAAGTATCGAATTATTATCTACGTGGACGAGTGAAACCTCGCACTGCAATAACTATTCCGAAATTTTCTGCACTGCGAATTGCTTTCTGAAACTTCGTGGGACGATTTGAAATTATTCGAAAAATGCGGAATGTTCGCAATGATCATTTAATTGACGTTTATTACTTCAGCTGTCAAAAATCCCAAATGGGTTCTTTTTATGAATCGTAGCTGTTCCGAATTAAGGTCTAGTGAGCATGAATATTCATCTATGAACTGTCCTGATCATCGATTCGATTCCTGCTGTTTCATCCGAACTTGTTGTAATGATTGTGATTTTTTTGTTTAAGGTTCCGTATCCCTTGAAGCTGAAGCCGTTGGGAGCATCTCGGTATTTCCAGGCTCGTGAACAGTGGAGAATACAGGATCTGATTTATTCACCCATGGTCTTGATGATGGTTCTACCATTAATCTTCATTGTGGTGTTGCCGAAACTCATGAGTGATCCTGATGCTCGCAAGGTATCACCACGCAACTTTTGTCATTTGAAATGTTTCCCCAATTGTCTTTTCTCTTCTGCGTTTTGTTGGGCTACGTTTTGAAAATATTTTGTTCCAAGCGTGCGGTTCGTTCATCAATTCCTCGAATAGTTCAATTGAAATTTATGGATTTATTTTCGGTGCTCAGTGAGGAAATTATCTTCCTGATGAAACTTGAGTTACACAATGCAAAGGATTCGCGCGTGACGAAACTAATTGGTTTCTCAATGTAGAATTTTTGTTATTCGAAACGCGATTTCGCTTATGGTTTCAATTTAAATTAATTAATTAATTCGTTTCAGAAACTCATCAAAAGCCCATAAAAACCCCTATTATCTGCATTGTATTCCCTAATTTTCAGCCTAAATTTGTGACTTGAGAATTGATTAGTGTTGAATTCAAGTAATCTTGGCAAGTTGTGCTATTAAATTTCTCGTTTTCACAAATTTTGAAAATGAGGAAAGAAAACAATTTCGTCCGTATATTAAAACTGTCCTTTATTTTTTTAATTTTGGAGTTGTAGCCCGACCGGCCGACAATTTCCTTGTGTGATTCAAGTTTCTCTCCGTGAAAATTTTACGTTGTGGAGGGACTCACTGTTTTATTCGGTGTATCTGTCAGTTGAAGGTTCACTAAGTCTGGAGTGGTTTTCTTGGAAGGACTAGATACTGGATAACATTCATGAAATGATGAAGCGTGAAGAATCTCTCTGAAAGCTTCAAAATTCCTTATTGCATTGTACGCAGATAATCTTCATTTTTGTCCATTTCGAGTCGCGTGAAAAAAAATTCGGATAGGCTTTTTTCTGTTTTCTAATGATTGAGACCGTTTCAATTTTATCGTCGCAGCTGCTTTATAATTTTTGTCATTCTTTTCAAATTGCTGATGGAACACGTCTCTGAATTTTTCGTACTTCTCAGGAAATGGAACAGATCCAGATGCCAAAGTACGAAATGCCTGATCTTTCGGAAATGATGACTTCTTTCTTTGCTGGAGACACCAAGAAAGCAAAGCAACCTGCTGTGAAACCAGCGCCTGTGCGTCGNTATTCCTTTTAAAATTATCTGCAATAATCAATGAATGAATCATCGTAGCATTCTAAAGAATTGGGTGAAAACCCGGAACGCATGAAAAGTAATGAAATTATTAATTTTAATCGCTAACTGTTTTAGTAATACTCTATCAGTCTGAGTGTGCTTGAGACATTACGCGTATTTTCTGCATTGTTGAAAAACTATTGTTTTAGTGTACTTTTATAATCATGAATGTCTGTAAGCTTAATTTTTGGTTGACAAAAGTATCGAATTATTATCTACGTGGACGAGTGAAACCTCGCACTGCAATAACTATTCCGAAATTTTCTGCACTGCGAATTGCTTTCTGAAACTTCGTGGGACGATTTGAAATTATTCGAAAAATGCGGAATGTTCGCAATGATCATTTAATTGACGTTTATTACTTCAGCTGTCAAAAATCCCAAATGGGTTCTTTTTATGAATCGTAGCTGTTCCGAATTAAGGTCTAGTGAGCATGAATATTCATCTTTGAACTGTCCTGATCATCGATTCGATTCCTGCTGTTTCATCCGAACTTGTTGTAATGATTGTGATTATTTTGTTTAAGGTTCCGTATCCCTTGAAGCTGAAGCCGTTGGGAGCATCTCGGTATTTCCAGGCTCGTGAACAGTGGAGAATACAGGATCTGATTTATTCACCCATGGTCTTGATGATGGTTCTACCATTAATCTTCATTGTGGTGTTGCCGAAACTCATGAGTGATCCTGATGCTCGCAAGGTATCACCACGCAACTTTTGTCATTTGAAATGTTTCCCCAATTGTCTTTTCTCTTCTGCGTTTTGTTGGGCTACGTTTTGAAAATATTTTGTTCCAAGCGTGCGGTTCGTTCATCAATTCCTCGAATAGTTCAATTGAAATTTATGGATTTATTTTCGGTGCTCAGTGAGGAAATTATCTTCCTGATGAAACTTGAGTTACACAATGCAAAGGATTCGCGCGTGACGAAACTAATTGGTTTCTCAATGTAGAATTTTTGTTATTCGAAACGCGATTTCGCTTATGGTTTCAATTTAAATTAATTAATTAATTCGTTTCAGAAACTCATCAAAAGCCCATAAAAACCCCTATTATCTGCATTTTATTCCCTAATTTTCAGCCTAAATTTGTGACTTGAGAATTGATTAGTGTTGAATTCAAGTAATCTTGGCAAGTTGTGCTATTAAATTTCTCGTTTTCACAAATTTTGAAAATGAGGAAAGAAAACAATTTCGTCCGTATATTAAAACTGTCCTTTATTTTTTTAATTTTGGAGTTTTAGCCCGACCGGCCGACAATTTCCTTGTGTGATTCAAGTTTCTCTCCGTGAAAATTTTACGTTGTGGAGGGACTCACTGTTTTATTCGGTGTATCTGTCAGTTGAAGGTTCACTAAGTCTGGAGTGGTTTTCTTGGAAGGACTAGATACTGGATAACATTCATGAAATGATGAAGCGTGAAGAATCTCTCTGAAAGCTTCAAAATTCCTTATTGCATTGTACGCAGATAATCTTCATTTTTGTCCATTTCGAGTCGCGTGAAAAAAAATTCGGATAGGCTTTTTTCTGTTTTCTAATGATTGAGACCGTTTCAATTTTATCGTCGCAGCTGCTTTATAATTTTTGTCATTCTTTTCAAATTGCTGATGGAACACGTCTCTGAATTTTTCGTACTTCTCAGGAAATGGAACAGATCCAGATGCCAAAGTACGAAATGCCTGATCTTTCGGAAATGATGACTTCTTTCTTTGCTGGAGACACCAAGAAAGCAAAGCAACCTGCTGTGAAACCAGCGCCTGTGCGTCGNTTTCTAATGATTGAGACCGTTTCAATTTTATCGTCGCAGCTGCTTTATAATTTTTGTCATTCTTTTCAAATTGCTGATGGAACACGTCTCTGAATTTTTCGTACTTCTCAGGAAATGGAACAGATCCAGATGCCAAAGTACGAAATGCCTGATCTTTCGGAAATGATGACTTCTTTCTTTGCTGGAGACACCAAGAAAGCAAAGCAACCTGCTGTGAAACCAGCGCCTGTGCGTCGGAGACAATAACATTTGCCCCTGATTATGATACATTTCGAAATTATGATTAACATTATGAATGTTTTTCTTTTCTTTGAAAAATGACCATGAGCGGATTTTGGTTTCTTCTGCATCTAGTCAAGCAATATTTTTTTTTGGAATTATCATGAATTATTGTATCTCCGTTGGTTGGCGTCGTCGAAAGAAAAGCATGTGTGTCCATTACGGATTGATTGCGGTATTTTTGAGCTGGTCGAGCAGATTGTTTTGAGCCCTGGCATTCTGAGAGAAAAAGCGGCCGATTTGGAAATTACGATATTATGTTCCGTCTTGAACAAATGAAAATGAAAACGGGAAGAGAATTTCTCCTTGGACGTAATTTTTCTTTTTTACGAATTTTGATTCAAGGAAACCTCCCATAATTTTGTATTCGTTTCCGAACAATCTTCGTAGAATGTCGGAGTATAAACGAGTGATTTCGGGGAAATTGAAGCTGAAAGGCGAGAAGAAATATTTTTTACGAATTTTGATTCAAGGAAACCTCCCATAATTTTGTATTCGTTTCCGAACAATCTTCGTAGAATGTCGGAGTATAAACGAGTGATTTCGGGGAAATTGAAGCTGAAAGGCGAGAAGAAATCCAAGAAAAGGTCGGTATGACGATTATAAGGCGGTAATTTTTGGAAAAGTTTGTCATGAAATTATCCATATTTGCAGGAAAAGGACCGAAGGCGAAAAAGAAGCGAAATCCAAAGCCGATAGACGTGACCTTGATGACGATTCCGTTGAACATGGTTAGTGGTGTATTTTATTTTTCGTTATTGAGTTTTACACGAACAATTTTCTACTGACTCAATAGGGAACTGGAAATCGGTTGAAGAGTTCAGTGAAATCGTTGGGCCGGTTGCGATTGAACTACGTCCTCATACGTATTTGAAGAGTTTGGACTCCGGTAACTTCGTTGCTGGTGTCCCGCATAAACCGGGTACGTTTCGTCTCTGTATTTTCTCGTGTCCACAAGAGATTTCTTGCTGTGTCGCCAAATTTTGCAGAGAATTTGTTTGAAGGAGGATTTAAATCACAATTAATCGCAGAAGCGTTTCTTTTTTGTTGTTGTCCACTAGAGATTTCTGGCTTTGTCGCCAAATTTTGCAGAAAATTTGTTTGAAGGAGGGTTTAAATCACAATTAATTGCCGAAGCATTTATTTCTTTTAAATTGCGAAACCTGTTAGGAATGGAGTTGAAGAAGGTTTGAAGATTTTGACTTTGAACTTTTTATGAAGTTTGAAATGAATTTAGAACAAAAATCAGCTGGGGTGCTTAACACCCTAGTGTAAGGTTGATATATTTTCAAGATTTTGAGGTTTTTGCAACAGCAGATTTGCAAGCAGTCTTTTGCGCAAGACAAACCAAAAGCAATTGATGATACATTGCAGAGTCTATCCAGTATTTAAACCCATTTTATTCTTCAATTTTTGTCCCTTAACAGACTTATCCTTTTGGAAGAATTTCCCCAAGAATTCGAAATCCTGTGGGAACTCAAGGTCAAACTTGGTCCCACTGGATCCCAGACTTTCCCAAAGTTCTGCCTGTTTAGCAGTGCCAGTCTAATCTCATTAAACTATGCTGTTCCGATTTCAATTTCCAACAAAACCCACAACTTTATCTTTTTGCAAGAACTTCTACGTCAACATTTTCAACTGCAATGGGGTTGTTTTAAATGTTTCTGCATTTCCGTGTCAACATTGAGTGTTCTGTTCAGGCACTGGAAAGTGGCTTAAAATTATTCGCTAAATCATCCTTTTAAATTTTCTAAAGCTTGGCGAATTTTTGTGTTCCACAGTTTTTCCGACTGAAAATGCAGATTTGGGTGAATTTGGACTTTGGCCCCCAATTGAAACGATTTTTGCAGAATTCTGGATTCAATAACAGTTCTTTTGAAATTCCCGGGCAAAATTTTGATGTTGTCAATCAGTGCATAAGTCATCAGATTCTGTTTTCGCTCATCATTTTTCTATTCGGCTCGTGATTCGTGTTACATCTGCCATATGTATCAGTAATCGACCTTCGGTACGCAAAATAGATGAATTAATACAGCGGGACCCCGACATACGGACGATTCGACTTGAGGATTCTTAAATTAGAGAAAAATCTACCCTGACGTCTTGAAAATGTCTCAACATACTCATTCGTTTCCCGGCATTTCTAGAAAAATTGAAAAAATGTATTTTTCTCAATTTTGATATTCCTTAAATGAATTGAACTACTGTACAGTATTTATATTTTAAAAATATCAAACATTTTCATTTTAAAAACTTTCTAATCCACAATAAGAAAAGGCTAATTTTTGCGTCTTTTTTCCCATCATTTGTGCACAGAATAGTTAGATTTTCTCCTGCTCTTCGCTTCTGATGACAAAATATTAGATTCTGTGTGATTTTCTGTGTATTTTTTGTATCCTGAAGTTTACGAAAAACATTTTTATTCAATTTCCAGGGGCTTCATTGCTTTTCTATGATGAACAGGAGAACCGATTAAAAATACTTCCTTTGAAATATACTTGACACGTAATTTGACAGGCGGGCGTTTCGACATAGGGACACAAGGTCCAAGAACCTATTACGTCTTCATCTCGAAACCCGGACTATATTTTTTTCATTCCTGCTTTTAAAATGCAAATTTTGTTTTGTTCTTTTTTGAAGGTGAACCCCCGGCACCGGAAGAAATCCTCACAGCCATCGCGGTCGACGACTCTCGAATAGCCTTGAAGTCCGGCTACGGGAAATTCATGAGCGTGGAACGCAACGACTCGGTTTCCGGAATAGCGGAAGCCATCGGGGCCCGGGAATACTGGGAACCCGTGTTCCAAGACGGCAAAATGGCCATTCAGGGTAACAACGGGAAATTCATGGGCCTCGACGACGAGGACAGTGTGGTGTGTTCCAAGCGTCGGGCGGAAGCGGACGAGGTGGTGAAGATCCGGGTGCAAGCCCGGATGGAAGCCCAAGACCCGAATGAAGGCGTGCCCGTAGAAGAACGGGGATCTCTCGTTGATGTTGAAGTGAATTACATGTGGGTGAATTATTCATCGAGACGCACCGAATTTTCGAAAAATTTAGCTTGAAACAGAAAAATGCCAAGCGCTTAAAAGAATAATCCTGCCGAGTGATGAAATAGGGAAGTCTCTAAATTTCTGGTCAGCTTAGTTCATATCAGTGTTCCCCAACCTCTTCTGGGCCCACGAACCAGCCAATTTTCCTGAAATTTTTTGCAGACTGGCGAATTTCTGAAAAATATTCTGCAAACTGGTAAAGTTTCATGGAATTTTTGCAGACTCGAAAAAATTTTGTTTGAATGACTTCGTAGCAGATATTTTAAATGAATTTTTTGTTGTTGCAAAATTGTAGTAAACGATGAAGCAGTTTAGTGCAATTTTTCCAGAAATTAGAAGGGTGGGCTTGAAAAAAGGTTTCTCAGTATGAAAAAATTGAAATAATTTATTTCATCGGTTGAAAATTTGTCTGAAGCGTTATTAAGAGAAGAGCCGACTTTTTTTTTCTCAAAATTAGGAGCTTCCTTGTAAATATGTTGACAATATGAAAAGTACTGTATGTTCAAAGCAACTTGTTCGTTTGTGTTGGAAAATTAATCGTGAATTTGTCTTTGAACCCGCTTCCTGACATCAAAGCTGCCTATGATGGTTTTTCGCTGCGAAACATTTATGAAGTCATTGAAATTCCATTGAATTTGAAAATGATTTTTTCCCGTTGAGAAAATTTTTTCGTGTGCGTAGATGTCGCTCACTTTTGGGTGCGATTCCAATTCAATTCCCCACAAGCAGTCATTTCCAAATCCTGTCTGGAATTTCTTCTGCGTTCAGATTTCTGGAAGTGGTGTCAGCATTGCTAAATATACTTCTTTCAACTATTGCAGAAAGAAGTTCCAGAAATTTCAGGACAAAAAGATGCGAATCAATCCAGAGGATCGGTCGAATTTGAAGAAAGCGTTGAAGACGGGTGAACTTCATGAAGCTTTGCTCGATCGAAGAGAGAAGATGAAAGCTGATCGCTATTGCAAATAATTTTTTATTTTTACGATCCCCAAATGTTGACTCATGGTTCAATATTTGGTTTTCGACTTTTCAAATAAATTGAGCCTCTTGATTTTTGAACCGTTGTTTTTAGTGTCTCGAAAGCGGAGATGGAAAATAATTAGTAGCTCTTCGTTATTTCAGATGATGCGAGTGCGGAAAATGGCTCGAATATCAGTGATGACTCTTTTTGTGATTGGGTTTGTGCGTGCGATTGAAGTGGATCATGAGAAAATCGTGGAACAGTACGAGAAAGGCTTTCATCCGAAAAACGAGACCGGATCTCAGTCCTCTGTTCCAAGGAAGGGAGTCTTGCATGATGTGAGTGATGTCACATTGTGTGCTTACAAGAATGAGAATACAAACTTGATTCCAGACAAAATGTTGTTCGGACAGAATTTGATTTTCCCGTAGACTTCAGTGGAGAGCCAATTGATCCATTTCTGGCTCCCATAATACTGTACAATTGAAAATTTCATGAAAAAATCAGGATAAAATATCTACTTTATTTACTTGAGTACCATAAGCACCTGTTCCTCAACATCTCAAGGAAAAAATTGGGTGTGCATCTTTGGCAGGGATACCTTTTTCATGTTTTATAAGCATTGGTGTGAACTATACTTGATAATTGCGAAATTGACCATTGCAAAATTTGGGATCATTTTCAAAATAAAACTTACTGTGATAGTAATGATTGAATTTTGGATCACTTCAAGTCTCAAGTTCAAATTTGGGTGTTCTTATATCTGGAATGTTATAGTTCTAGAGTCATTAAAAATGGGGTGTCCATCTTACTTGAAAATTTAATTTCATTAAATGTTGACTGAAAAACCCTGGTGTGCATCTTACTTGAGGTTTAGTGTGGTACTTGAGTAAATACAGTGAGCAGAATGAGTTACTGAAACATCCTGTTACTGTTTGCAATGTTTTGTGGGGTTGGATGGACGTATGAATATTGAAAATAACACTCAAAATTTAAAAAGCTTCACCTCCAGAAGAAAGCATTTGAATATGATTAAGATAATTGTCACCAAGGATTGAAATGCTTATTTTTGTAATATTGTAACTAAAGAACAAATGCAGCAATTGAACTGTTGAAATAACTTTAAAAATTATTTCAGAGTCCATTTGCCCACAGCTTCCCACATCTGGATATCATTTTCTTCAATTGATTCTGTGCAAAATCCTTGGCACACTGGGTGAACAAACTTGAATGAATGTACAGAACACTTTATTTACCGCTTTTCAGCATTCACAAGGTTCAATCAAGATTTCCACAACTAAACCCCCTTCCCACCCAACCCAAATCCACTCAATGCCATTTAATC